ACAGAGCAAACTACCACTATTCCTTTACATAATTCTTCATTGAAACCCCGGCTAACTGTTAAACTTATTCTTTCTCGATAATTTAACACTATTTGTACCAAAAATTTCACAAGACACCTTTCAATCTTTCAATTCAAAATTACTTTCTAGACTTAATCATTTTTCCTCAATGGACTTTTCCTACAATCATAAAATTATATTTAATCACATAATAATTAAAATTATACAATTTGGTGCTATACACTTCTACCCGATTATATCGAATTATTTATCAGCTTACATTAATCGATTCGATAGATTTTAGTAAATTAGCTCTCGGTACAAATAGCGTTCACGCGATATAACAGAAACAATTGCTGTTTAAATAATTATATGTGTATGAGTTTCGTTACACGGTTTTCAAGTTCGCCAACGGCCTTCTCCCCGACAGTGGACTCGAGCGTTATCCGCATTGCGTTGTGCGACTCCTAAGTGGGACAGTCGCATCCTTCCAGATACTACCTACTACTTACTACCTAGTACCTACTACTACCTACTACCTGTACAAGCATACACGGCGGTACGTTTGCGCACGCGAATTTCTATTTCTCGAAACCTCCTTTGCTACGAACTGATTTTATTTACAGCTACTTCCCATTACCTTCGAATCGCCGCCCTCCGCTTTAACAATTATTTACTAACTGCCCGTTAACTTCGTCCCGCTCGTCGATATCAAATTTCACCCAAAAAGAAACATAAAATATTCTTACAATTTATAGAAATACCGTGCACGTTTATAAGAAATATTTCTTATAAGAATCATTCTACAAATTCATTTACGTTATATCACTCGTACTCGCTTATTCATTAATTGAACTTGTTCTACACTTCGTGTAAGAAGTCAAAAGAAAATTGAATTTGATGAAACAACCAGTCAACTCATAAGAAAAAGGAGGAAAACGTTAGTTGATATGAAATTAAAATGTTTCAAAGATAACAGAACTTGCAGTTGAATGAGGCCAAAATTGTTTGAAAATTTGAAACTTTGATTAAAAAACGTTGTATAAATACCAAATTGAGCTGTAATTCAAACACTCGCATCGTAATTCATAAAAAATGTACTTTTCTATTTAAATGTACATTAACAAGCACATCGTTTTTTATTCAAATAAACATAAAAAGACGATAGATATTCACGATTCAATCCAATGCATAACTAGCATTACATACAACTTTAAATACTTCCATCTCCTTTTCGACTAACGATGCACATCAACGACAGAAACAGAAAAAAAGATACAAAAATCCTCAAAGTCAAGAGGGAAACAGTCGAAAGTTGCAAAAGAGCAGTGAAAACTGATTAACACGTTGGCCGCCACAGTGATCACCGATGACCGCAGCTTCCAAATCACTTGAAAAGAATTACAAGAAAAAAACTGACGTCGTATCAAACTATTTAGTAATATAAATAACCGAATAAGTGCGTAACATGAGAAGTACAAATCGTTAATAATTCATTCTAATACCATCTATTACGAAAAAAAACAAATAACATTATACAAAACTCTCAAAGTTCTTGTGCTACTCGAAATCAATGCATTAACCCAAAAACTACCAATCAAAACGACTGGTTTCAATTCCCTTATTCCTCAATTATTGATATAATGTCTCGAGGATATTAAATATCCAAAATGATTTAAAAAAGTAAATAGTTCCACTTAAATCACTGCAATGAACATACGATAAAACCGAAACAAATCTATCGTCACAATTTTCTTAAGGATTAAATATTAATCGTGTGAAACGCTCGATAGTTTTAGCGTCAAGCTATAGGAAAAATCGGTCGAAAGATCAAGGTTTACGGTGAAGTTCATCGAAACTAGGCGCGGATCGGCGACCGATAAGTGATTTACCTGACAGGAAGCTGCCAGCCAGAGAATCGTCATCTTGAGCAACGATCGATCCCGTAAGTAGGAGAAAAAGGACGATGGCCCCGGGGGCTGTTCGCAGTATCATCTTCAACCTCCCACGTTCTTTTTCTCTTCTCTGTCGCTCTTCCCTCCCGGTCGATTTCAAGTGGCAACCGCAAAACAGCTGAAGGAAAGACGCACCGTGTCGTTGTCCGACAGTCCCGACAGGTTTGAGCACGTGCGTGTCAAACTACTTTACCGCGAGTTCGGCATCCACCGGTGTATTATGCGAGCCCGCATTGCCTGCCTGGCTTGTTTGACTGACTGACTGACTAACTGGGGAGGTACCGGGCCCCACTTGTGGGTCAGGGTGCGGGTCCCCTCTTTTACGCTACTCAGAAAAAGGAGAGAAAAGAACGAACCCGGAGAAGTAGAGAGAACTACACCGACCGACCTCACTGGGAATCATTCAAACAGAGGAGGAGGGGTTGCTGGTACGAATATTCGATAGCCACGAGAAAACTTGCATCTTTCGGCTATTGCTATTGCCGCTGGATAGCCTGTGTAGATCGTTGATCGATAATGAATAGGATTATTCGAATAAATCATTGATCATTTCGTTTCATCACGTTTCGATGCTGATTTCTAGCTAACATTTGTTTATCGATGTTAATCTATTTTTATTTGCTCAGTACTGTTATGATATATATTGTTAATTAGAATGAGTCACATGTAAAATGAAAGTAATAATGGAAATTATTCCATATGTTATACTTTTATTTGTTCAATTTTATTTATTGACGATCATATGATTTTTATTGAAGTAGACCATGGCTGATAAGATCTTTGAATGTATTAATTTGTTCTTATACAGTCTTTTTTGATATGATTCAATACGCAAATTTATTTTAATAATGAATTTGTTGTTGTAGGTAAGTAACAGAAAATAACAAAAATGATGTCATATAGTGTTATTTTATTTTTTTAGAATGAAAATTGATAGGTACAGTTGAATTAGGATGAATTAAATTGAATAGTAATTTCTTGTTATTGTGATTGTGTTTTTTACAAGACTGTAGCCTCGTGAATAAACATAATAAAATTTCACGTTTATATTCATCATTTTACGATAACAAAGAAACGTCGTATTTTTTTTTGTCTTCTTCAAGCGTCTTAACACTAAAACTTTGTTACAGAAAACAAGAGGTTCCCTAGAATAAGATAAACACAGAAAACTGATAATCAATAGTGCATTACATGCTAATTAATACCTGTCTAGAGATGTATGGAAATATTAATTCTACATTGGCTTCAATTGATATTATATTATATATTTGTAGTAGTGTTAATAATATTATTTTATTACGTATAAAAGTTTACTGGTTTCTTTTAGTACACGTTAATATAAAAATAAACAATTTTCGAAATGTA